ATGAACCTAGGTTTGCAAACTGTATGGGAAGGAGAATTATGAAGTAAGTCTGGCCTTTAAAACCTAAACATATGGGCTTCATTTAAGTTTCAGAAGAAAGGAACTGTCTTGAGGTAAATGGTCTGGAGGAGCTCCCTTGTTGGAACTCATTGAAGTCCACAGTAATGCAATCAAATTCAGCTTTGCATTAGATATTTCTATCATTAATGGTTGGTGGGTGTGTTTGTATACATCTAACAGGAGAAAGGCTCATTTAACTTAATCTGGGTTGGCTTTTGCCTGCAGATTAATCTTTGGAGAACCAGCCAACTTATAATTATAGTTATAGGTATGGGTGGAGGAGTATTGGGTGGTTGAGACATGCCAGTTTCTGTTACATTTGGTATGTGAGGCTAGTCTGATTTTCTTGTGATTTGTCTAGCCAAGTAGATCAGACTCTCATTAACAACTTAACAGAATAGAAACTGTATGTGACTAAGATAAATACCTCCCCCCCAAAAAAATCGTTAAGATTCTTAAAATATGGTCAAAAAATAGACTAAGATACCACCCTAAAGCTTCTTGATGACCAGAGCAGTTCAAGTCCTATAATAAAGTCTGACCTCCTTCATGTCTTCTGGGTCAGGCTTGTTCTTTGGTCTGAACAGCAAGGTTTGGCTCAGCTTGTTCCCATTTTCTGCCACAGACTGACCCTTGCTGTGCCTTTCTCTAAGGATCTTGCCTTGGAGCCAAGTGTGTGGCAGCCATCTGGTTAGCTAACATTGTGCCAAACACACGGTGATGGAATGATAAAATACGAATCGGGCAGGTTCTCCAGTGGGGAAAGTGAAATGCACAAATGAAAATTGACTTTGTGGGCCAGCTGCCCTCTATTTTTAAGCTGAAGTATATTCTCTTTGCTGGCTTGGCATCAAGGAGTGTGGCCCTTTCTTGATAGCTGTTGCCAGATTCCTGACATGCTGGAAAGTGGCAGCTAGAAGCATTTGTTCATGGTGGCTTAAGAAATTTTCAAGAAATCCTTGGCTGTTCTCTTGCTTTGAGATGGTCATCTGCTTCTCTCCTTCAAGTCAAACAAAGTGATATGCGCGCTCTCTCTCTCTCTCTCCTGTTCTGCTCCCCTTTAGCATGTTTTAATAATTGCTTCTTATTTTTCTGTCTGAGGCTGCTGGTGAGTATAACTTAAAATGAAAAAAGTGTCAAGACCAAAGACAGGGAACACACAAAGCAAGACATTAAAGGACAGTTTGGGAGCCAAAGCCAATTTCAGCACAGCTGTTGAAACTGTTCTTTCAGGCATGAGAAAAAGTTAGCCATGACTCTTGGGCAAATCACATTTTCTTTTGTCTACAAATATTTTTCATGATAGAAGATTTAGGCACAATTTAAAAAAAAATGCTTATGTGGCCATCTTGTTTAGAGCCAGTTCACGGGCAAGGATTACCTCTTCCGTCAAAACAAAATTACCTCTCATCTGTTGTGCATTAGTTCTTGTTCATCAGAATCTTTAGAGGAAGAGCAGTTAACAAATAATTCAAGTAAATGAAACAAAATAACAATGCTTAGGGCTTCCTTCCAAAACTTGTAGTAATTAGAGACTACAACCAGTTTTGATTAATGTCCACAAACCACAACAAGTTGCCCAAATCACACAGATGCCAGTGGTATATACAAGTACCCTGTAACCCATGGATGACTAACCTGTGGTCCTTCAGATGCTGTTGGATCACAGCTTCCATCATCCTGGCCTTTTGGCCCTGTTGGCTAGGGATGATGGGAGATGAGTTCAGCAACACTGGGAGGGCCAGAGGTTTAGCCTCTCCTGCTGCAGCCCATATGCATTCAAGTCCTTTCACTCTACTGCAACTTCCATTCTGTAACATGGCTCACTGGTTACTCCAAGCCTTAGTAGACTTTTGTTACAAGCACATCCCTCCACACTCTCATTGCTATTTAGCACAGCTGGATCATGGTGGGTCCAAAACATAGCAGCCTGCTTTCAAGTTCTGGCCTTCCAAAGTCTTAACGGGGATGATGTCAACCATACACAAGGGGAATTACAAAACACATGGGGGAATTATTGTGGATATGAGTAAAAAGTAAATGATCATTAACTTATTCATGGGAGGAATAAAAGAATAGAAATGGATCCCCTATGAATAGCATATGAGTAGCATATACCCAGTTCTTCTAAGGTTACTTTATTGTTCCATTCTCTGAAGCATATACTTTATCCAGATTGTAAATATATTTTATTAATATAACTTGGCCCTGTGTCTTTCTGTAAAGGCACTCGCCTTAATCTTAACAATATACGATATTGCATTCATCCTCTAGTAAACTGTCCATGCTTACGTTGCATCGCTTATGCTTTAACATCTCTCATACTTGTGATAAAAATTATGCTTAAAATTGGCATAAGATGCCTTTTGGAATTGCAGAAGCAGAGCTGGAAGGAACAGCATGGATTATTTCATCGAACTGTCTGTCCCGAGGCAGGGAATTTTACACTTCAGGCATTTTTACCAGATGCCTCCCTAGTTTCCTCACAGAAACATCCAGCAACGAATGCTTCCAAACTGTGGATCTTGTTCCATTGCCCTACATTTTATTTGGTTAAGATGTTTTCCTAATATTCACTCAGTGTGAATCAGCCATTTCCCCTTAAACCTGATGCTACTTCTTTGTCCTCCGAATAGTAACACAGAATGGACCCTCCCTTTCAGGAGGGCTGTCATTTTCACCTTTAGCCTTCAATCCATTTAAAAAAATGTTTAGTTCATGGAACGCTTCACTGCATGACTGACAGTGATTCAGATATGCAGAAAAGTAATCTGGTGCAATCTTGGACTGGACTGCATCAAGCTGCAGGTGGGTTTCTGCAAAGCTCTATGGAGGGAGAAGGCTAAGGAAAAACTATTCTCCCTGGTATGCTAGCAAGCAAGAGTCTAATTTTTATTTCTGCATGAGAAAGAATTAAACAGATCCCACCCCCTCATAGTCTTAAATAGAAAAGTTTTTGGGTTAATTGTAGTACGTGCCCTCTCTGTACTTTTAAAATGGCTTTTATCTTGCTTGGGTTTTTTTATATATCATATACATATAGAAATGCTGCTCCAAGTAAATGCACAGAGCAGTTACAGCTGTGTGGAATACTAATTGTTACTAGTACTATATTTCCACTTCCAGAAGTGTTGTGTTATACTTTAATGTTTTGCAAGGTATTTGGACATCTCCTATTGTGAAATGCAGCCTTTATTTTAGATAATTGCCCTTTCCCACGAAAACATTGTCTTTCAGCATTGTATAATTGATGTCCCTGATAAGTGGAAAGATTTTTCCAGAAACATTTATTAGACTACCTGGGTTTACATTCAAAGAGTCCATATATACTGAGTACATTATATACATTTGCTTTCAGAACTGAAAATGGTTAGGAAATGAATCAGTTGTGTACTTGCTGGAGTGCAATATCGCCAATGTCTGGAAGACTAGGCACTATTGTATTGTACTTCTCTTCACAGAATCAGCACAGGATAAATGTAACAAATCAGTTTGAGTTAGAAAGACATCTAGGGAAGAACACAGTAGGGTGAAGTATTTTCTACTCTACCAGGACGTGTGTAACTAAGTAAGTACTTAGTAGATGAGCCAAACATTCTCCTGACTCCTATGCAAATTAGCATGGGAGAACATATGCTTATTATTATACAAAGAATTGGATGTAAAAATATAGCCAATATGGGACGCGGGTGGCGCTGTGGGTTAAACCACAGAGCCTAGGATTTGCCGATCAGAAGGTCGGCTGTTCGAATCCCCGCGACAGGGTGAGCTCCTGTTGCTCGGTCCCTGCTCCTGCCAACCTAGCAGTTCGAAAGCACATCAAAGTGCAAGTAGATAAATAGGTACCGCTCTGGCGGGAAGGTAAACGGCATTTCTGTGCGCTGCTCTGGTTCACCAGAAGCGGCTTAGTCATGCTGGCCACATGACCCAGAAGCTGTACGCCGGCTCCCTCGGCCAATAAAACAGATGAGCGCCGCAACCCTAGAGTCGGTCACGACTGGACCTAATGGTCAGGGGTCCCTTTACCTTTATCATATACCTACCAGTAGCAACTTCAGAACAGTTACTTCCACTTGAGAAGCTTAAAATAATTGTGTGTGTGTGTGTGTGTGTGTGTGAGAGAGAGAGAGAGAGAGAGAGAGAGAGCGAGCGAGCGCCAAGTTCATTCCATGGTATCTCTAGGTAGTGCTGTGACAAACTCTTTTCTAACATTCTGAATAGCTACTACCAGCAGTTTCCACAGATTCCCATTTGTTCCGATTTAGTGTTTAAGAGTGGGTTTTCCAGGGGAAAGTGGCAGGCAAAGGCAAAACTGCTTGGACCTGTGCCTAGGAAGGATGGGACAAGCAGCAAACTCCTCTCACCTGTGCTTTCTAGGCATGAGACAAGCAGAAGTGTGGACAAGCCCTTTGATAGGGACCACTGATCTCACTTGGCACAAGGTAGCCTCCCAGGTTCCTAAGTACTGTAATTCTTACATCATGATTTTGCCATTAACTCCCAGAAAATTCTCCCTGAATCCTCCTGATCTTGGCTGATCAAGTCTACTTACCAAGTGGTTAGCCAAGTACTTTCAGAGCAATCTGTTTTGCAGATGTCTTTTGCTTTTTTCCTCATGGCCTTATACTATTTTACACCGAATATTTTGTGCAGTGGAAATAGCTACAGAATAAATGGCATAATCTCACCTCCTAAAACTAAAATATATAAAAGATTCCCACCCCCCACCCCTTGCCAAAGAATAGGAGGTGGTGCTGTGTAAACTTTGCAAGGTACAAAACTGCAGGCAAGTTTTATAGCTATACTGATTCCTAATTACTTTAATTGAGCCAAGTTGGTAACATATGAAAGGTGTTTCCATAGTGTAATTCCCCATTGGGAATACCCCATTGGGGTATATATATTTGAAAACCACTTTTCCAAGGTACAACTCACACATATAAGCTAGCTCATTTTTAATAACCATTTTGATCATGTGCCGATATAAAACCATACAGATTAATGTAACATGTGAACTGTGGCTTCATAGATATTATGAGTTGCATGTTATATGACTGTAATGGCTCTAAGAATGCTTCTGTGGCTAAGAATAAAATTAGCCAGGTGTACCTCAGCAGCGTCATGCAACTTACGCTTTCCATCCGTGGATGGAAGGGATTAACTGGAGCAGACAACAGGGACATAGGCAGGCGGCTGTATGTATGAACAAGTCCTCTTGTTATCCTACTCTCTGTGACTTTGAAATCATATGCCTGGATAACTTTCTCCCTTGCCTGCTTCTGTGAATAAACTGCAAATCTGCTTTCCTACATCTGCTGGACGAAGGTCTTACTACTCACACTGTGCTGCTTTTAAGACTCACTGGAATCTGCTTATTCTGGAGCACATTCAACAAACTTGGCACTGCTTTTCTACAGACTAGACTAACTTTCCTGGTGTGTGGTGATGCTAAATCCCAACTCAGTGGAATTGCCCAAATACTAAGAAGATTGAACACATTGTGCTACAGACCCAAGGAAAGTCTGTGGGCTTTCACAGAATGTAAGTCATTGTTGGATTTCACTCAAATGTGTTATCCAATTTAAAACACACACACACACACACACACACAGAGAGAGAGAGAGAGAGAGAGAACGACATAAACCCAGAAGTGGAAGTTCTTAACTCCAATAGGTTTTTTTCTTCAAGCATCACTATACTATTTTGTATCTGTTACTCCTTTTCCATATCTGGTAGCAGATATGTACTTCCAAAAAGATATGTGCCTACTATTCAGATAGATCTTGGTGACTCAGGGAATTGATTCTAAAAAGCATGCAATTGAGAGATTGTTTTAGTAGTCGGGACTATATTGATCGCCCTCTCATTAGCTTCTTTCTTTGCCTCCCTCAAAACTAATGTTTCCAGGATCCTCATTGTGCAGTAGACCTTATAATGCTTTCACATGTCACAAAAATCCTCAGCGCTCCCTAAAGTCTGTTAAGTGACATGTGGTTTCACTAAACCTGAATTGTGATGAGTTCGTTCCATAGCAGTTAAGCATCTATGCCATTTATTGTTGCACAGAAGAGAGAATTTAGCATAGACAGCTTCTCTGGCTACTGTAGGTCAGGAAAAGTAATGCATGAGTATGGATTTGAACTCTGCTCTCACATGTCTTAGTCCAGCACTCTTAACCACTATGCCACGCTGATGTCATTACCATGTGCTCTTCCTGGAGCACTTCTTGAGAATCTTCTGATTAAAATAATTCCTTATTTCTTGAATCTGCATAGGAAGCTTCAGGTTGTATCAAATGGTGTCTCTATGCTCACGGGAAGGCTGTTTGCTGCATCAGAGCTTTCTGTTTGTGGAAGGGACGGGGAGGTGTTCACAAATCCTCCTTTTCTCCTCCAGCCCCTTGCATCACATTGCACAGTGTTTGTTTCAAAGGGTTCCTCAACCCTCTGGAGGTTTTAAGTACTTTCCTGGAGAGGGAAGAAGAAATAAGCAAAAATCCCGCCCCCTCTTTCTGCTGATGGTTGAACCCTTTGCTGGATCGAGGAGTCTTCTGTGACTGCAGGGAAATGACTGGGCGCAACCGCCAATGAATTGCTTTCAATCAGTGAAATTCTATGCTTGGTTTCAGTTTCCACACTTTGCATCAGACACACAGATGTACAGCTTTGCCCATGGCGGCTGGGAACCTTGCAGCGGGAAACTGGTTTTGCTGCTTTGTGTGATTAAGGTTTGAGACCTCAAAACATTGTGTGAGCATTGACAACTTGCAAATTGTATCTGCTCTCACCAGGCTAGGCCTGCCTGAAGCAGCTTTGTTTGGGGGGCTGAAAAATGGTTTAATCATGCTGAATCTCTCTCCCCCCCCACCCCGTGTGTATGTGTGTGTGTATATATATATTTTTCTCCACTGCTTCTCTCTTTTTTGTCCTTGAGAACAAAGTTCCAGTCACTTTAATCAGTCACATGAAATGGTCGTTGGAAGAAGTCTGAAATCCTTGTCATCTCTTTTTCACATCTCATGAAGATTGTAACTCCACTCTGCGGCAAGAGTGTTAAGTAATCATTGTGGGTTGTTCTCTGGCACAACCTCCCCGTCTTCACAGCAGATAGCATCTGGCTTGCAGTTTAAAGAGAACTATAATAAAGCTGCAAGGCCCTGCAGTTACTGTGCATGTTTTGTACCAGCTTGCTTTGAAATTAACATGCTTTGGTTTGTGTGGTTTCAGTAACGACAGCTGAAACATGGTACCTCCAGGGGCTACTTCTGTCTCATACTGCTGGCTTGTTCTTTTTCTGTGCTTTGCAAATAGAGCTGGTTTTGTGCAATGTACTAGTGAACTTTACGCAGGACAGCAATTATTTATTGGCAGCTATTGAAATAAAATGAGGCCTTGCCAGTTCATTAGGGCTGGCCCCACTCATATCTGAGAGATACAGTTGTTTCCTTGTTTGCCTTTCTCTCCTAGGGGATAGCAGTCAGTTACTGGCTTCATCCAACATTTGATTACCAGTCCTACACACTTTCAGATGTTGTGACCTATACACAGGGCTGCATGGGTGGGAGCAAGAGAGCAGCGAAGGTCCCTATGCGCAGAGAAAAAGTGCAGAATGTGGTGTACAGTTTCCCGAGGATCTCAGCTCTTGCTCTCTAGCCCATACGGTTCTGCGAACGAGTTTGAAAATGTGTGACCCATGCCAGGCAAAATCTCAGAAGCCAGAAATGTGACTGAATAGGTGTTTCAGCAACCAGGAGTGAGGAGGCTTCAGTGCCCTGTTCAGTTCTTGATCCTTCTCTAGATTAGCAAAAAAGAAGAAGAAAAATGCAAAACAAGAGAAATTATACCGACACAATAAATTTACATATTGTACAGGCAATAGGATCCAGGTTTACTTGGTGTGGAATTTTGATTGCCTGAGGGCAGATTTTGTTTCCCCCCCTGTTATGAATACACATAGAGCTACTCATACATATAAGGATGTTTGCCGATCTTAGGTTGTTTCCAGATGACTTCTTTGTTGAACATTCATCCTGATTTGTTTGCAGTGAGGTTACACAACATCAGCTCAAGTGATTGTTGTTCCATGATTTCCAATGCATGTTTGTGTCCTGTTCCTTATTGTAAAAACTCTGATATTGGGGGGGGGGGAGGGGTTAGTTACGCAAAATCACCAAATCAACTTTTAAGTGTGGAACCTGTATGTGATTGAATCCCACCCAAAACAGTCTGTAAGTGTCCTTACTTACAGTACCCACTTATATCCATATTATGGTAACTCATCGTGTGCTTCTTTAGCACTCCCCAACTCTCTAAAGCAGGAAAAGGGAGGGTCAAATTGCAATTCCAATTAGGTTCAAGTCTGTAAACCACAATACCCACAATTTCAGTTAGCATGAATTATGTTTAAATGACTACAGACATTGCACTCATCCCTGAAAATAACTATCAAGTTGCAACTAAAACCTTATGTCTTTCAAATCCTTGGGCTTAACCTTGGCATCTCCTGCTTCGCAACGAAGGAAGTATGTGGTGATATGTATACATGCATGGCCACTAGGAGCTGGACTCATGTATCTGATGGATGGCATGATGTTGAACCTCAATGGTGGGGTAGGGGAGCAGATAGAAGGAAGAAAGCAAGTAAACAAATACTCCTCCGGCTTCCTTCTGATCCACAAAAGCAGATCAATGTATAGAGCAGTAGTTTGTTGAAATAAAATGTAAAGGAGCACAAAGTATTATGCAGGGGGAAGGGGGGGAATTGTACAGGTGAGAACTCATTGACATGGCAATATTGGCAGGATCTTGTTTCCTTAGCATATAACCCAGTTCAGACTCCCTGCCAGACATATAGTATTCTGTTTGTATTTCACATATTTTATAACTACCCTCTGTGTATATTTTTTTTCCTTGAGCATTTCTGTCATATATTTTCCTGACACTTCATTCATCACTTGGAAGTTGAAGCCAGGGAAAAGAAATGCCAGTATAATATCTGCCTCCTTTCCCCTCCAGTGTGACTGTTGGTCTTGTCTTGGAGTTCTTTGGCTTTCCCCTCACTACTTGAGTATATACTGGCAAGGCTGGCTAATTACTGCCGGGAGAAATAAGACAGCCACATCTTTCAGCATCTTTTGGAGCTGGGCTCCAAAGCTCACAGTCGTGGTGCAAATTAGAGATCCAAGACGGCCAGCAGTTAGGACTATTAGATTTCTACACTGACATTAAGCATAGGGAGTCAATGCACCATTGTATTTCATTTCAGTGGTTGGGTTTCATGGAGTGCCATTAAGGTTTGATATCAAGCTGCTCTTTTACTGGCAAATTGCTTTATTGCAGTGGCTAAAAGGTGAAAATGACACAGGCCAACCTGCTTTCCTTTTCTCTTGTTAGAGGCTTTATAACTGTTATAAGAGTTGTAAATGCACATGAGCTGGAACAATGGAGCATTGTTCTTTGGGCTCAGCAACAACATGTTGACAACGAGTTGCTTTTAGCTGATTAACTGTCCAGATTCTGAATAGAATATTTTGGTGCTCGTAAACACCACATCTTGACACCACACCACATCAGGTAACGTTTGAAGGCAGCTAATAAAAGCACTGTTTTTAACTCACACATACATTGCCTTGCCTTGCATGAAATCAGCAGATGTCTTCATTTTGCATGATCTCTGCAAAACAACACTGGACACCATTTATGCCAGTTTTCATTTAACACAGATTCTCCGTAAATAATTTGCAATGATTGAATTACTCATAAAACCACAGCATCCTTGTTTTGCCCTGAGTGTTTAAAGTTCTTAACACAAAAATTCACTTTTAAATGTATCAGGTGCTTTGAAAACATTTACCTTATTCATTTTAATTCAGATTCCTGGTTTAGGGGTGGGAAAGTGTAACTTGGCAGAAGGTGACATGCAGCAAATGCATAAATTGAGCTCAGATCTTTAAAGGTCATACATTCTCTGGGCTACCATGTTCCATCGTAGTTTCCTTTTCCTAGCTAATGCTTTAAGGGAAAATAATGGTGAAGTCCTCTGCATGGACCCGTCTTAGATGCGTTGTTTTTATCACTGCAGTTCACAGAAGTTGCTCTGAGTAACTTCTGCCAGGTCTCCGCTCAGAATTACATTGTTCATGCAAATGGAGACGTGGGCACTTCATCCTAGTGGAATGAACAAACCAAGTCTTAAAGGGGCTGTTTTCCTTCTCGCAGACAGTAATTTTCAGCGTTGTGAAGAAACAATTGTAGCACAGTGTGCTAAATGGCAGGTGATGACAGTTTGGTAGGTAAGACAGGTATTGTTGACAGCTTATAGCATTACACCCTCAACAGGAAAGCTGCCACAATATCCTAGTAGCAGTGGGAGGTTTTTCTTTTTTTTGGGGGGGGGGAGGCATTAGCACAAGACCTTTTCAGTATTTTTTCACTTTGGGCCATACAGTCTTGTTAACCTTTCTTCTGCCATAGTTGCTTGGGGATCTCAGAGAGAGACATTCTTTGGATTTCACTCCACATACATGCTGAAAGTGAAAAAGAAAATCTCACAGATTTTTAATTTGCAGAAAAGGAAGGATTTTTATCAGTGAATTTTCATAGGTTTTATAACTTTCTCAGTGCGACCCTTAGGTGTAGCAGGAAAGCTGGTATTATAGGTGTTGTTTTTTTTAACTAAGCCCTTAAGACTGGATAATAGAAAAGCAAATAATACAGAACATAGATTTATGCATTGAAGAGGCATTATGGATAATCATGTTCCCTATTGGCACTGGACATTATAGGCCTAATCAGGACGCTATATTCTTCATGAATAGTGAGTTTTCCACCTCTTTGGCTGCATCCCTGGCTTAGTGGTGGAGCATCTTCTTTGCCTGCAGGGAGTCCCAAATTTGGTCCTCAGCATCTCTGGTTAAAAGAACCTGAGGTATCAGGGTGGGGAAAGGCCTCTGCCCAGCAGCTGTTGCCAGTTATGTTACTAGACTCAATGTGGCATTCAAAAGAGTGCAGAAAGTGAACACTGATACTGGATGCAAATCCACCAACAGAAGACTTGATCCTCAGCTCATCAGGTATGCCAGCCTGGTGCTGGTGCAATAAAAATTTAGCAGGGGGAGACATCTCCCCCTGCCCTGCTCAGTGTTAGCCAGCAAGACTTGGGATGTGGTGGTGAATCTGCTGCTCCTTTCATCCCCAATTCCATATAGGATAGCTCTGCTAGTCTTGTAAAAACCAAATACTGTGGTAGTTTTAAAACTTTGACCTGTAATCTATGACACACTATCGTACTGCTTCCCATATGCACGTTTAGATGTAAAAACCAAGTAACTGGAAAATAGTTTTTAAAAAACAAAAAACCCCTAAAAATAATTATTATATATTGTAGATTCATATTTTAAATTTAATTAACCCACTATATGTCTGAATGCTGGCAAATGCCCACTTTCCGATGGTTCAGTGTGACTGCTTCATCAATATGTAAATCAAATGTGAAATGAATTAGTTGCCCTTTTGATTGGTGTTTTAAAACAGGCATATTCTGCAACGTCTTCTTGACACAGTAATAGTGCACCAATGGTGGATTTATTCTGCTTTAGTTTGTTTTGCAATGCTACCATATTATTACTGTCCGGAAGGGCTCTTAGCATAACAAAAGTAGAATAAAAATAATCCATATCATTTGCAGTATAAAAAGTTGTGGTATTCCAGCAGGAAGATCTGTGATACAGACTGATTAGAAGGGAAGCAGGGTGACCACCCCAAAACTTTTGCAGGTGACAGCAGTAGTTAAAGAAGGATCACATATGGCTGTCCTGATAACACAAGGAGCACAAATCATAATGAATGCACAATAAAAGGGATGTCTAGGGTCCCTAAACAAGCAGGTAGCAGTTAATGGTAGCCAAATAATTTGCAGCAGGGTGGGATACGGCAGAGTCTGGTAGAAGTGAATAAATAGGTAGGGTGTGATTAAGATAGGCCAGGAAAGATTGAGCAAAACAATAAGAAGCATAACTTTTTTCTTCTTGTTATTTTTAAGTTCAGTGGTACTAGGAAGGCTGTACAATTGCACATCCAGGAAGTTGTCATTCTTCAAAAACTGAAAAGAAACATGGATTTTAGTTGTTGTTTGCTTTGGTATCACTGGTTCTAATGCAGCCCCAAATTACAAGTCTACCAATGTGAGAGTCCTGCTGGTTAATAAGTGCCATTCAAATTCCTGATAGCAGGATTCTTAAGAAAAATAAATGTAGATACTGTAACAAAGCTACTGTACATAAACTAAAAAAAAAACCCTGTTAAAATAACATTCCCAGCCTTTTCAAACTAATGACATCAAGGAGGTGCCAAGATAAGGCTTGCATTGGCATGTCGAGGCATGTTTGCAGAATATTAGTCCTGTGTGTGAAGATAAAAACCAAACACTTTTCTCAGGGTCAACATGTATTGCTTATTCACAAGTGGTCAGCTGAGAATGAAAGCAACAGGGGAATGCAAGGAATGCCTTGCAATGCAAACAATCCAATGGAATTCACATCTCTATGTATAGAGATTAATTATGATTGATGCTGTTTTAACACCTCTTTTTTTTCTTCTGCTCCAAAAGACTTACCTTCATATGTCTTAAATCAAGGGTTGAGTTCTACCTAATGGCAGATACTGGGCATCCTCACATGACTTTCTTCTCTCTTTCTAACCCACCCCCAACCAAATAATACATATTTCCCATTGCTCCACAAAATAGGCTGTCATGTTGTGCCCTGCGATGCTTCCCACTAGTGACAGCCAGTGAT